TGGGAGGAGAGTGCCCACGTTTTCCGGTACGGTAGGCGGGCACTACTACCTTAAGGACAGCTCCGGCGACTCCGCTGTCCTTCCACGGTGTTGTGTTTTGCAGGTTCAGTTCATAAAGACCTCGCTGCATTCTGTCCTAGTGCATAATGTCCTCGCAGCCCAGTGCATAATGTCCTCGCAGCCCTGTGCATAACGTCCTTGAATCGCTGTCTAGTGTTTAAAGACCTCACTGTCCAGTGCTTAAATACCTCGCTGTCCAGTGCTTAAAGACCTCGCTGTCCAGTGCTTAACGTCCTCGCAGTCCAGTCCTTAATGCCCTCGTACAGCAAGGCTGTTTGAAGATATAGCAATTTATTTTCAGCTTTGTTTATTTTGTAATATTCTGAATAAATTATAAATTCAGAATTTTATTTATTTTTATTTTCCGGGGCCGTTCATCTTCCCCGTCCGTTGTAATTCGTACGAGAATTGTAACAATTTCTTCCGTTTCATAAAGATGTTCACAATTTGACTTTTAAGAAATTTAAAAGAGGAATATTTTTGTGTTGACTATCTAAAAATATCCTTGATATGATGAGTAAAGGTAAGAAGTGATGGGTAGATTAATAGTAAAAAATATGATGTGATAGGTAGCTTAAAAATTACTCATCCGTTCGGAAAAAATAGTCTCACTCTACCTTTTTTCCGCCCGGAAATAATCTTCACATTCTACTATTTTATACCAATTCTTCCTAAATTACCACCCTCTTTTCTTTTTCTCTTCTCTCCTCTTTTTACCTCATATAGTTTCTCCTCTTCCACTTTTTTTTCTTCTTTTTTCGTTTCTTCTTTCTCATCCTCTCTCTTCCTCCGTCATCTCCTCCTCTTCTTCACGTTTCCCCCTTCATCTTTGCTCTTCTTTATCACCTCTTTCTCTTCCATCTCTCTTCTAGATCCGAGCATTGCAGCGATAGTGGCAGCGGCGACGATGGTGGCGAAGGCGATTAGAGGGGATGATGGTGAGTCTAGATCTCCACTTCTTCTTTTTCTTCTTCTTTTCTTTATCTTCCTTCTTTCTATTATATGGTGGTGTCGATGGTAGCAGGGGCGGACCTAGACAACCTAAAGAGTGGTGTCAAAAACATTAAAAGCTAGAGAATAACTATAAAATATGAAATAGTATTAATATTAAACCATACCGCAAAAGGTAATATATCAGTATATAGTATTACAAAATCATTCTTCTAGGCTTCATTTCTTGAAAATATTGCATGATATCTCCATCTTTGATATTATCAAAAGTTTCACTCTCTACATAAGTTAACATACAAGCAAGAAACCACTCATTCCCAATTCGATTGCGCAATTTATCTTTGACCAAATATATTGCTGAAAACACGCGTTCCACGCTCGCCCTTGCAACAGGTAAGATCAAAGTCAATTTCACCAACAAATAAACTATGTTATAAACAATATGTTTTTGCTTCTCAACCATTTTTTGAGCAAGATCCCCAATTCCCTTCAAATTAGCAAAACTTTCATCACTTTTCACATCAAGAATAAAAATTTCAAGAGAAGAGGATAAGAAAGAAAGATCGCAAAACTCATCGAATTACATCAGATAAAATCTAGCAAACTCAACCAACTTCTCCATGTCAAATTCAAGAAATGAATTCATTGGATTAAGGCAACTGAAGTAGTCAATTAACTTTGTGTTGACATTGTCAAAACGATCATCCAATTCAAGAAGTTGTCAGTCAATCACATTATCAAACAACTTCATCTTAAGATACTTCCAAAACTTGAAAGTGGATGCATTTTGCATAGATCTTTATTTTTGATGATAAAAGTCACCCATATTTGGAATATGAATATCATGCTTCTTACATAACTTCATTGTCACATCAAGTATGTTGTCAAAACCAACACTCTTCAAGTTTATCAAACTAACTTTCGCAATTCTCACTAGAGCAATTGCATTTACAAGATCCTGCCCCTTTCTTTGCAATGCTTGTGACAACTCATAAGTAACCCCCAAGACTTTCTCCATCAAATGCAAATTGAGTATGAATTCAAGATCATCAATGAAATACAAAATGGCAGCTGCTACTATTCTTATCACATAATTTTTAGGATCATCTTGAATGATATTCACCAAAGAAACTATTGGAGAAAACAATGTAATTACACTCAAAATTGTTCCATAGTGAGAGCCCCAATGCGTATCACCTGGTCTTCTCAAAAAAGTTTCTTGATTTGAACCCTTTTCAACCAAATCACCACAAGCAATTCTTTCAAGTATCAATTCGTATTGCTTTTCACTATGTCTTCAAACGGATGCGATAATCTCTTCTTGCTTGGTCTGAAATATTCATAAGAGTAATGTCAATATGTTTTTCTCTACGCATAAAATCTTGTCCAGCTTGGAAACATTGATGATGAATACTATTATGTTCCCCCACAAGATCTCTTAATCTCCCTTTCTTGTTCCAATGGTTAAATCCTTTCCCAACAAAAACATCACCCTCAAAGCAAATTTTACGAAATTCCATATGAAAAGGTAGCAATACAAACAGTAACAAGCATCTTAAGATTCACTATACTCTAACCATCCCTTGAATTCCTCATACCAGTCTGGATTAAATCTACGCATGCTAGCATACTTGAATGTTTGAGGAAATTATGTAAGCATAGGTTGTGTTGGACCCTTAAGTAAATACTTTCTCCAAATATTTTCTCTCTCAACAGGATTCATTGTCAAAGAATTGATTGGAAGTCTTTTTCTTGGATCTGCTACAAGAATTGTCCTGTCAACTTTATTAGGTATTTCTTAAGTTGGATGTTGGTTTTGAGCTTCTTCAATTGGTGCTGTGGCTTGAGTATTTTCTATTGGAGCTTGTGGTTGAACTTCAAGTGCAGGTTGGGTCTCTTGTTCTTGTACAAGTGTGGGTTGTAATTTTTTATTGTAAGATTCTAAACCTATCATCACAAAAACAATAAATATTATTATTATATATTATCTAAAATTGCACTTCACAAACACTCTGTTCTCTATGTCTCTGTACTCTACTAAAATAAAAATTAATATTTATAAACCTTATATGATACCCTTCATTCTCAATTGAATTGCAGAAATTGAACTCCTGATTATATAGATCAATCAAACACAATAACACCTACATAATTGAAAAAAATGATTGAGGTAGTCAATGATCAAAAAATACAATAGGCCACTCTACTGATTGAGGCAGTCAATTCATAAGCAATCAAAAAGTACAATAGATAGCTCTAAACTAAAAATAAGCAAAAAGAAATTAACTTTACAAAAAAATACCTAGCTCTAAACTACTCATTGAGGTAGCCAATTCATAGCTCAATAGATAACTCTAAACTACTAAGGCAGTCAATTCATATGCAATCAAAAAATACAATAGATATGCCCATGTCAGAAGTTCACTTTACAAAAAATAATTATTTGGAAGCAATCCAAAAAACCAGTAAAAAGATAGCTCTAAACTAAAAATAACAAATAGATTGAGATATCACTATATATATATATATATATATATATATATAGGTGATTATGGATGTCTCTAACCTCATGCAATCATGGATATGGAGCAACAAGAAGGTTAGGAGGACGACTAATCGGGCTGAAACTGAGGAAATTGGGTTGAAATGGATGCTTACTCCCTAGCTTTTGTATCTTTCTCTTTTTAATGATTGTATTTTGGGTTCTATGGGCTGTAGGCTCTCTTATAACCTTGTAAATTCCTTTCCTTCTAATCTATTTGGTAAGGGTTTCCTGGTCCTTACCCCATCGAGTTTGATGGTTTCCACCGGGTTAATATATATATATATATATATATATATATATATATATATATATATATATATATATATATATATATATATATATATATATATATATATATATATATATATATATATATATATGAGATGGCTTTTATAGAGAGAAGGAGGAGCTGCAGTTTTAGGGGTGTCAGTCACCGCCGGCCATCCATTTGTTTCTTTGATACACCTACCCCTAGGAAAATCTACAGAAATCGAACAAGAAGCTATGCCCGAAACGATAGGTTCCAAAGGAAACACAGTTTTCCTCGCTTTCCCAGGACCCCCTTTCTTCAAAAACAGCGTAGATGGCCCTTCAAAGAACCCCTCTCCAAAGGAAAGCATGACCAATACGTTTACAATGACTCTAGATTATGCCTCAACGGGTTTGAAGAGTGTTCAACAACATCTAGCCGAAACATCATATTCAAATTCCAGACACAAAATAAGGTATTTGAGCTATTTTATTCCTTCTACAATCACAACTTTTGCATTTCGGATTTTGGAGCTAGAAGATATAACATTTGGTTTGATTTGGACACTGTGAATATGATCTTGAGTTCTCTTCCGTTTTTTCGAAGATTAACTGTTGGGCAGTGTCCAAGTTAGAGAAAAATAGAACCATTGACCTCTCCCTTGGTTCCAATAATAGGGGCAAATTTGTGAAAATCCGAGAGATTAGAAGAGAGGGGAGTACATTCCTTATTATTCCCTTTGATTCAATTGTTGATGGCCCAAAACTTTTCACAAAGGCGCTCTCCTTATTCACCAAGAGAGCTACCAATCTTGAGGTATGCTCAAAGGTGTGTGTGTCTGAGGAACCCCAGGAATCCCTGCGTAATTCTCCCAACGAAACTGATGCGTCTTCCCTGCCAACAGACACAGGGCAGGGTGTAAATACCCATTGCAGTGAAGATGTCACAAGTGCAGAGGTTCTTGTTGGAGATCCCACCCCTGCCGAAACTAATAAGCAAATAGTTATTTTCCAAACTAAATCAGCTCCTATCTTCAGCCTCTCCACCAGTCAAGCCGAAGAGTTTCCACCTCTACCACGAAAAATCCGTAGTCCTTCTGCTCCCGCCTTTGTGCCTGCTATATATGCTGCTCTTTTCACTCAGGAACGACGAACCGAGGCTATAGCAGATCCAGAAGAAGACCCCTTTTCAAAGCTCAATGGCCATAGTTTGGTATTATCCCTTAACGCAGTGGAAGATCACGCTCAGGACAGGGATGGACCCATTCTCTATACCCACTCCGATGGGGAGGATTTTGTGTTCATAGATACAAAGCTCAAACCTTTGCAAATTGACCTCTCCAGATGCTCCAAACACCCCCTCCATCTCCGTAAGGAACTAAAGGGCAGAAGGACGTTCTCATTGTCCCAAATTGTTACGAGGAGTAAAGCTAAAATCCTAGAGCAAGGAAGGAAATTTAATCCTATCGGCTGGGTCGAAGAAGAAGACTTGTTAGATCCCCAGGAATCACATGAAGACGAGGCTATCGAATTCTTCAAACTTTGTTGTCCAAACAAGATTGAAGAGCCTAAACCTCTTAGCAAACCTCTAACCAAAACTCAAAAAAAGAAAATGAAGAAGAAAAAAAAGCAGTCTCAATACTCTGAATATGGTTTTGAGGAAGATATAGATGTTGGAATGCATGAGTTCAACCCTTTCTGTGTTGTTTAGTGTTGCCTCACATGTTTTGATAATTGACAAACACAATTTATTCAAGTCAAGATCAAAGTGCTACAACGACACACACGAAGACTTGAAGTGCCATTCCTTGAAGTATTCAAGAAGGTGCACAAGATTTTATTGAAGTCCGAGATGCGTTCGGAGCGCCTAACGGAGGACTCGGAGGAGTAGAAAATTTCCGAAGACTTTTTATTTATTTGAGTCGTAGGAATAATTGTATGGATGACAAAAATATCTTCTCTCCAAAATTATTTTTATGAGAGTTAGAATAAAAACTATATTTATTTTTGAAGTCAGTTGAAAAATCTTTTTAACTGTTCCAATAGTTTTATTAAGTCAGTTACAAAAGGTGTGCCAAACATTTATCAAATATTTATTTTGATATTATAAAATATTTTTGGTAAGCAAAAATATTTTATTCAAATATTTTTCGTGTACATCGTTTGACACACAAAATATTTTTGGGACTTAATTTCTACACAAATTCAATACTTAATTCAAATTTTGAATTTGAATTAATTCATTCCAACCTTTTTGGTTTGTTTGTTTTTGGGAGCCTTATCATATTCAAATCCTTGTCCAAAACAAGTCATTAAGCTCCAAAATATTCACTCAACTCGCACACATGTTTTGGGTCCTCATGTTTGAGGTTTGTTCGTTACAGGATCGATCCTTTTGTTTGGATCGATCTCCGTGTGAGAACCCTGGGAGTTGGATCGATCCCCACATTAGATCGATCAAATCATTTTGGGATATTTTCTTCGGAGGATCGATCAACCTGTATGGATCGATCTCCTGTCACTTAATCATATTTCGTTTCCCAAATTTTAACTCCTTTGGATCGATCCTTTGCCTTGGATCGATCCCCCGAAGCTTTGACAGTAATCTGTTTTCGATCCATTACTCCAGGTGATCGATCCTCAGCCCTGGATTGATTCCCAACGTCTTTTATCTGTCAAAATCAGCCTTCCCTTCTTCCAACGGATTTATTTCTGTTTCCTCTATAAAAACTCTCTTCCTTGGTCTTTTTTCATAACAAGAAACACTCCAATACTCCCATTCTTGAGGTGTTAATCCTCTAGCCTCCTTTTATTTACTGCCATAATTTCCAAGTCAGTGTTTTGGAGTTGGTTTCTAGTTCAGAACAGTGATCTTAGGGTATACAGCTGGCCTTCTCTGGTGGGCTAGCACAGATGTGTTTGGAAACTCCTTCTGTTTGGACGGAGGTACAAGGTACTACGTCAGAGTTGGGGCATAATGCACATGTTGATTGAAGATATTTTGAGGAAAATGGCCTGCTGGAATTTGGTGAAGTACTACGCTGTTTCGAGCTTTTGCCTGGCCTCCCACTCAACTGCTCTAGATTACGCATTCCTTGGTGTGGAAATTAAAACAAGCTGTATAATTAGAGCCCATATAGAATTTTGGAATGTTCTCTTTGTCTAGTTTATTTAGCTTATGGTACCTGTTTTTATTTCTATTTCTTCAATTTCAGTCTCTGGCCGAAGTGTAGGGCAACTGGCCAACCCACTTGTACTTTTTTTCTCCATTTATAATAAATTTCCTTTCCATATATATATATATATATATATATATATATATATATATATATATATATATATATATATATATATATATATATATATATATATATATATATATATATATATATATATAAAATAGGAATGATGAATAGAGAGAGAAAAACTCCGGCCAACTCTCCAGCAGTGACGCCGGCAAATGTTGTACCCAAAAGCAAACTATTCTCTGAGCTTTTCTCTCCAGGTGTTGAACCGATTGGCTCTGCAAGTGGCTTCCTCCATGGGTATCCCTCAGACTCTTTCTCCCATGAAGAGATCTGGACTCTAGCAGGTAAGTTCAAATTTTCTCTTGTTGGAAGGTCCAAGGCTTCCATCCCTCTATCTGCCATCCAGAATAGCTTGAGGGTCATTGGCTTTAATCATGTTCATCTCCAGAGCCTCTCCAAGCTTGACACGCTTTTTTCCTTCAAAGAGGAAAGTGAATACCTCAGATTCTTCCTGCGAAGGAGCTGGATTCTTGCAGGTCACTCAATTTATGTGTTCAAGTGGTCACCAGATTACAAACCCTTTAAGGACTGTCCTGTTGTGCCAATTTGGGTTACTCTCAAATCTGTACCTCTTCATCTGATCCAGCCTAAACCTCTCTTCACTCTTTGTTCAGTGATTGGAAAACCCATCAAAATGGATGAACGTACTGCCGCTGGGAGACAAGTTGAGAGGGAAAGAGTTTGCATCGAAGTTGATGTCTCCAATCCTTTACCTCCTTTCGTCCATGTTAGACTGGGTGACAAGGACCACCTCTTCCCCACTTCTTATGAAAAACTCCCTTCCTTCTGTCACTCATGCCTCAAACTTGGTCACTCAATGCAGAATTATCCTCACCGGGCTGTTGCCGGCGGGGAAGTCCACAACGCCGGCAAGGAAAAGGTGGCAAAGTTTGGAGAAGGAGATGCTGGTTGGACTGTGGTCCAAAGGAAAAAACCCAAACACTTAATGCCAAGGAGTAAACCGTCTCACCTCTGGAAAGCTGTCCCTACTCCTCATACTTCATGCCAAGCACTAAAATCCAATTGTACTTCCACCCCTCCAAGTAATCCTCTTCTTCAGCCTTCCACCTCGTCTGTTGTCCCACTTCCCACTTCCAACCCCATTATTTTAGATAGTGGGGGTTTAGCTGTCATTAACCAGGTTGCCTCCATCCCCCCCTTCCAGTCACCCTCCCCCACTTCCATCACCTCTCCCACCAATCTTATTGATTTTGACCCTACCCCGCCATTTTCACCAAGCAAGAAGAGTGGTAGTAAAGATGATTCCATGACAAACATTCTTTCCCAGGATCCAACTTTTACCATCCTTAACACTCTTGGGCTCCAACACCTTTACCCCTCGGACTTCTCTGAAGATGCATTGAGGGAGGTTCACTGCCACTCTGAAGGGGAGTATGAGCCTTTCAATAAGGAGAAGCTGCAACCCCTCCATATTAACATTGAGAAGTATGCCTCTAAAGGGGTTGGAGCCCCAAGGGGGCCTAGGAAGAAGAGGAACTACCCTCCTAGTAATATCCTCACCCGAAGCCAAAGAATTGGCGTTGGCGTTTCTCCTCCTGTTTATCAATGAAGCTGTTATTCTGGAACATTCGTGGGATTGCCTCCTCCCTTCACAGGCTTAAATCCCTTATCAAAACCCACTCTGTCCCCTTTCTTTCTGTCCTTGAACCGTTGGTTAATTGTAATAAACTTCAGTTCTATATGCTCTCTCTAGGTTTCTCCCATTGCTTGGCTAACCCTAATAACAAGATCTGGATTTTCTGGCGTGATGATATCCTTCACCTCCTTGGTCACTCCAGTAACTCCCAATCCACCTCGTGCAGAGTACTTCATAAGGAATTCAATAAAATCTTTAACATCACGGCTGTTTATGGAAAACACTCTATCCTTGAGCGTCAAGAGCTGTGGCATTCCCTTTCAGAATCTTGTCCTTCAAATGAGGCTTGGCTAGTAGGGGGGACTTCAATGCTATCCTTTCCCTTGATGAACACAAAGGCAACTCCTCTCCATCCCTTAAAAGTATGGAAGACTTTCAAGAATGTCTTTCCAGTAATTCCCTCACAAGCATCCAACCTGTTAAGGGCTGGTTCACTTGGAGTGGGAGTAGAGGGCAAGGACGGCTTTGGAGAAGGCTGGACAGGGTGCTGGCTAACATTGATTGCCTTAATTTTTTTGCAGGTCTTAAATGCTTCCACCTTTGTAAGGCAGGATCAGATCATAACCCCTTGTTGCTGGAATGTATTCTGGACACTCCAAGTTCCCCTAAAGGTTTCAAAGTCCTAAATGTTTGGTTCTCAAACCCCTCATTTCTCACAGCTATTTCTCAATCTTGGAACTCTACTGGTACATGTGGAGGTATGAGAGGCTTCAGCAACAAGCTGAAGGAGCTCAAATCAGCTATTCGAAAGTGGAACAAGGATACCTTTGGTGACATTTTTCAAAACCTTAAAAAAGCAGAGGAGGAAGCAATCACTGCTGAACTCTCTTATGATTCCAACCCTATTGAGTCCAATAGGGAAGCCTGGTCACAAGCTATGGCTAACCTCCTGCTGGCAACTAAAAAAGAGACAGATTTCTGGAAGCAGAAGGCACAAGTAAGGTGGATGGAAAAAGGTGATAGCAACTCCAAATTTTTCCATTCCTTTGTAAAGGGCAGGAGGGCGAAACTCACTATAATCAAAACCAGATTAGGCCATACGCTGAAGGACGCTCCAAGCATTAAGGCTGAAGCTGTGAGTTTTTTCTCTCAAACCTTCTCCCACGCCAACATTAATGATCCTCAGGATATATTAAAGTTTCTCCCCCAAGTAATTAGTGAGGAAGATAATACCTTCATTACGCGCCTTCCCTCCATGGAAGAAGTAAAACATGCAGTTTGGGAACTTGACCCACACAGCACGTGTGGCTCGGATGGTTTTAATGGAGAGTTCTTTCGCAAGACCTGGCATATCTTGGGGAAGAACCTCCTCCTTGCCGCGCAGGAGTTCTTCCTGGGAATTCCCCCTCCTACTGCCTTTGGGGCTACCACCTTAGCCCTTATTCCCAAAATCCCTAACCCCCAATCTTTCAATGATTTTCGGCCAATCTCCCTCTCCACTTTCATGAGTAAAGTCCTTAGCAAGCTCCTTGCAATCAGACTCAAATCCTTCCTTCCCAAACTCATCTCCATGGAGCAAGGGGCCTTTCAAGAAGGGAAGGATATAGCTGACCAGATTCTTATCACCGGAGAGCTCCATCATTCCCTTGACAGGAAAGTTAATGGGGGGAATATCATCATCAAGGTGGACATGGCTAAGGCATTTGATAGGCTCAGTTGGGAGTACCTCCAGGGTGTCCTTTCAGCCTTTGGTTTCTCCTCTCATGCTATCAAGATCCTCCTAGCAAATCTGAAGTCCACCCACTTCTCAATCCTCATCAATGGCGAACCCACTGGATTTTTCAAAATGGAAAGGGGCATCAAACAAGGTGATCCTCTTTCACCAATTTTATACATCCTGGGGGTAGAAGGTCTAAGCCGATCACTTAACCACCATGTTAACTCCGGCTTCATCACACCCTTCAATGCAGGCAGATGTCCCAAGATTAACCACTTGGCCTTTGCTGATGACTTGATCCTTTTTACAAATGGGCACTTCAGAAATCTCTGAAGAATCAAAGGTATCCTTGAATCCTACCTTGCAGCCTCGAGTCAAGCAATAAATTTTGATAAGAGCAAATTCTACAGCCCTACCAGACACCTCCAGCGTCACTTTGTGCAATGGAAAGGGCCTTGAATATGAAGCCAGGACCCATACCCTTTACTTACCTTGGGGCACCCATTTGTAGAGGAAAGTTGAAAAAGGAACATTGTAGTCCCCTGATTAATCACTTTGACAAATTCCTTTCTTCCTAGTACAGCAAAGCCCTCAACCCCATCGGTAGGCTTATCCTCATTAAACATGTTTTGTCTTCCATTCCTTTACACTTAATGGCTGTTCACTCTCTCCCCCTTGAGGTGATCAAACTTCTCCACAAAAAGATGGCCAGCTTCCTCTGGGGAGTCAAAGAAGGGATACAAAAACACCATTGGATCAAATGGAACAAGGTTTGCCTTCCTAAAGACCAAGGCGGGTTGGGGATTAGGGTCTTCACAATATCTAGCAAGCTTACTCCCTTAAGTTGTGGTGGAAAATCCAACACGATGACAGCCTATGGACTAAGCTAATGAGAGCCAAATACCCTACTCACCCCAATACCATCAAAGAGAAAATCACAGACTCTCCGGTCTGGAAAAGGATTGCACGGATTCATCCACATGCTTTAGGAATCCAAGTCACTGGGTCTGTTATCATGAACTTGGGCCAGCTCTGAAAGATTCAATATTTTCCAATGATGTATAATGTGAGATTACAAGTAATTATATACTAAGAGTATCCTAGTTATGGTAGGAATACAATAAAGGTAATCTACACAAGAATGGTAACTAGAATATACAATAATATATGCATAATATAATAAATATAGAGTTACTATATTTAACATGCTCCCAACGTCACTGGTGATGATTTCCGGATCCCCAGGCTATCCCGAAATTCCGTAAAGATCATGGTTGGGAGTCCCTTTGTAAAGATATCTGCATACTGAAATGAAGAAGGAACATGGAGAACACGTATATGGCCGAGAGCAACCTTATCTCGAACAAAGTGGATATCAACCTCGATATGTTTTGTGCGCTGGTGTTTGACAGGATTAGCTGAAAGATAGACAGCACTAACGTTGTCACAGAACACCAGGGTAGAACGGCTGATAGGTTGCTGAAGTTCCTGGAGTAAGTTACGCACCCAACTAACTTCAGCAACTGCATTCGCTATGGCCATGTATTCTGCCTCCGCACTGCATCGGGACGTGGTTTGCTGACGTTTGGTTGACCAAGAAATAAGATTATCACCGAGGAAGATGCAGTAACCGGTCGTGGATCGGCGAGTGTCAGGACAACCGGCCTAGTCAGCATCCGAGTAAGCCCGCATAAAGTCCGTGGGAGACGGAGAGATAGAAATACCGTGAGAAGGAGTCCCATGGAGGTACCGTAGCACCCGTTTCATTGCTGTGACGTGCGGTGTGCGTGGATCATGTAGGAAAAGACACAGCTGTTGTACGGCATATGTGATGTCGGGACGGGTGAAGGTGAGGTACTGTAGTGCCCCTACAATGGACCGGTACAGGGTGGGATCCGGTGCCGGGGGACCTGCTGAGGCCGAGAGCTTCCCGCGAGTATCAGCTGGTGTGGAGATGGGTTTGCAAGAAAGCATTCCTCCACGCTCAAGAATGTCATAAAGGAACTGAGTCTGAGTAAGAATTAATCCATGAGTCGTGCGCTGTACATTGATCCCCAGGAAAAAGTGGAGGTCCCCCATATCCGTCATAACAAATTCCCCTTTCAGCTGCTGCATGATACTCTGAAGGAGTGCCTGGGTGGAGGCTGTGAGAATGATATCATCAACATATAGAAGCAAGAACGCCATCTGAGACCCCTGGCCATAAGTGAACAAGGAGGTGTCGCTCTTGCAACCGCGGAACCCAATGGAGAGGAGAAAGCCCGTGAAACGCTGGTACCATGACCGCGGTGCTTGTTTCAGACCGTAGAGCGCCTTGTTCAGTTTGCAAACATAGTGGGGGCAAGCAGGATCTTGAAACCCAGATGGTTGAGCTGTGTAGACAGTCTCTGTGAGGGAACCATGAAGAAAGGCGTTCTTGACATCCAGCTGGTGAATCTGCCACCCTCGAGAGACGGCCAAGCTGAGGATGATGCGTATGGTTGCAGGTTTGACCACCGTGCTGGACGTCTCATCATAATCAATGCCATGACGTTGATTGAACCCACGGACAACCCAACGTGCCTTATACCTGGGCAGTTCACCTGTGGGGCTAAGTTTGTGCCTGAAAAGCCATTTGCCAGAGATAACATTTTGGTTGGGGGAGGGGGGTACTAAATCCCATGTATTATTAGCAATCGAAGCATTAAATTCATCCTTCATAGCATTGTACCAGTTTGGATCCTTGAGTGCACTACGGTAGGTGGGGGGAATGGGGGAGACCTCGGCAA